CATGTGGTTTGAAAATAATGAGTAGTTTCTGAGAAATCTCTACACCAAAATGAAGCCTACTAAATTTCCAGCAAATGAGGAGAAACTTCAGGCAAGAGGGGTAAAAAAGGGCAGGAGAAAGAGAGAAAAGTAAAAGTCGTAAGTGGGGCATTACTTTTCAACCCAAAAGCTATCTCGAAGTTTTGCTTTCTGCGCGTGCCCGAGATTTCCAGGCCGCCATTTTGCATTTGGATTGAAAGGCCGTTGAGTGTACGAGCTGTCAAGGGGTTTTTGGTAAGTTTGAGCTTTTAAAACCACAACAGTGACCCGAAATCTGCTCGACTAGCTTCAAAACACAGTTTTCCACAGAAGCTGCGGCCATTAATGGTTAAGGTCTTTGGGGAGTGTATTCCAGCAGGTAGCCCCTCTATAGGCAAAAGTAGAAATGGAGTGTCCACAACCTCTCATAGCTTTTCACACCTGAGAGAGCTGTGTATATTAAGAGGCCAGCTCAAACTGCTGAAACTAGGATGTAATGTATATCAGTGCACGTGGACAAAGCAATAAAATCTCTTACATGTAGAAGTGGAGTTTCTACCACTTCCCTAAGCTTTTCAATCTGTTCTTTACACCCTCCCACATCTGAGTAAGTCACATCTGGCTTCTCTTCAACCTATGAAGCAGAACAAATAGTAATGCCCTGAGGTTAGTGTCTGCCACACTAAGTATCTGCTTAGTAAAATCTATTCATGTTTTGAGAAGCAAGGGTATAGTGGTATTACCTGCATCATAGTCACTGTTGGGTCAATCTTTGGTGGTAGAGGTATATGAATTTGGTACTTGTTTCTGTCAACTCTGAAATAAAAGTAACCATAACACTTAGGGAAAACATAGGCTAAGTTTGTACTTGATGCCCTAATCCTAACTCTAACCCTTATCATGGTTTTTTTTTTAGCATGAAGCAACAAGGAGTAATGCTACTCCCCCTTGGATTGGATACCTCTCCATTGTGAGATTGCTTCCAGCAATTCATCAGGCTTCCCTGACAACTTGCCAGTACCCATTTACACTCCTGAATGGAGAGGGGACAGTACGAGTTACACACTTTGACAAAGACCACAACACAACAATGCACCCAGATCTTGAACCAGGACCTCTTAACCCAGAGTTCAGTGCACCACTGGGTCTTCCAGCTTAAGGAAACACAGCTCAATTTTCTTAAAAAAATGAAAGTTCCTCATAAAGACCATGTGGGAAATTCATTTGCAAGATTTAATCAGAACTACATTTGCAAAGATCATCCACTTTAAAAATCTCAAAATATACTGAAAACACAAGCTTGCAAAGAGTAGATCAAAAGGAAGGAATTTGTGTTGCCAGATTTAGTAACGCTTTACTTTAAGTAGGATAGAGGCCTGCCTGAGTCTAAATAAATGATTCTATTTGAGTCAATTTTGACAGCTATACACATCAATCAATTGTTTTTAATATTCATACCCAACTCTCATTCCCTCTTCAATATCTGTCGGAGCAACTTGATCACCAAGATCAACTACAAACTTGGCAAACTGTTTGACATTGATCACATATTTAGCATCATCTGTATCTGCATTGATTATCTTTGTACATCTTGCCACCTGATCAGACAGAACATTAATTATAAGTACAGATATAAAAACATTTAGAAAGAGATGTTTAACCACAAGAGCTGCTTTGAAGAAAACAAATTGCTTGAAACACATTAATATGTTAAAAAGTATCTCACTACAAAAAAATTTGTCCTTTATAACATAATCAGGTGGGATGCATGGTACAGTGGAACCTCAATTATCCTGGCTTGCTGGGACTAGATGAAATAGTCACGATGATTAAGGGTCCAGATAATCGAAAATGTGAATATTAAAGAGAAACAACAACTGATTAAATTAAGAAAGGGACATTTAATTATGAAACAAAACATTTACAAATCATTTTGAAAAAAATCTTATCTACACCTTCACTGTCTGTTGTGAACACCTCTATACATGTGTACATTTATTAACAATTATAATTAACAAAAAATGCTTTTATATTGGCCTAAAATGATGAAATCAGTTTGTATTAAAGAACAGATCACTTATCCTTCAAGGACATGATGATCATGAATAAACATTTGCAACGCTGAGTAGCTTGTTTATCTTGTGTACCACACCAAATGAGGTCAATAGAACTCTAAGCCAACAAGAACTCATTTGAATGCACTTCATTGGTTGCGATGTATGCAAGCACTACTTTCGCTTTTTGAAAGTAAAGTAAACTCACCTGGACCTCACTCAACACTGTAGTTGTAAAAATATGGCTGGGGATCTAGATTATGACTAAAAAATATTCATGACAAAATTGGGACCAGGGAAAAAGTCCTGATAATCGAGAAATCTGGATAATTGAGGTTTGACTGAAAAGAGAAGCAGATCTGAAGACAAGAATAACTGAACATCTGCTAGACACACCTAGAATCTTCTGTTGTTTAATTGCTTGGTTCTTAATCATTGCACACATGAAAGGAGCAAACTGTGATTCCTTTAAAATTTGAATTACAGCTTTCAGGTAATATAATGTACCTGCAAGGGTTGTTCTCCTTGAAGAGTTTGTTTATCTGCTGCCAAATCCCACAAAGCAGGAGGGGCAAGGCCAGTATCAGATTCTTTGATACCTGTGCAACATGGATAACTACATATTAGGCTAGTATTTCATCAACACACCAAACCCTTATAAAAAAAAAAATAACATCACTGAATAAAACTGCATGGTCCACAAACACCTTGTTCCATCCAAAAATGAATCAACACTATTAAATTACACAATACATGGACCAAACAAGCCAGCATTATTTCACTAACTGAGAATCTTTCCTGTGAACAAATCTAGTTCAAAGTCAATTTGGTTTTGTCAACTGTGTTAATAATGTGAATTGGCCTCTGTAAAGAATTCCTATAGCCCTTCATCAGAGTATGAAGAGGAGTTATGGGTGGAAGGAAGAATGGAGCTATGCTATTGGTAGGAACATAACATGAAAAACGTAAGAAAAAGTTAGTCTGCATTTAGAGTGCTGATATAAAAAACAAATTTTCTGTTGCAGAGTTTTGTGGCTTTCCCAATTTGCTAGATGAAGAGAAAGGCTGCAGACTACTTGCCATATGTTGCTTTGAATTATTTGGGAGGTTTAAGTGTATAGACTGGTTTAATTGGTCTTTCCCACTCCCTTCTTCATCACAAAGCTGATAAACAGAGTAGAAAGGAATGATATTCATGATACTGAAATAACAGTACCAAATACACTCACTGGGACTACTGCTTAATTCTGGACTTAACTCTTGTAATTAGCTTTACCTGTTAGTTCATTGACTTTCTTTAGGGTTCCTTGTATACCCTCTTCTACCTTTTTTATTGACCTGCTGTATAATCCAGCACCCTTTAAAAGAAAATAAGTTGAAGATAAATTATTTCACAGCATTTAATTAACCAAATCTCAGAGTGTTTTTTCCGCTTTCCTTTCTCATTCTTTGTTGGCATGGGTGGAACATCAAACTGGTTAATAGAGGGTTTGGGGAGGAAATCACCATTAATGGGGTCTCAAATTGGATAAAAAATCTCCACAATTCTTTGTTATTTCCCTCTATATATCTTCAATATTAGTGTTATGTGGGACACATTTCCAATTCATAGCCTAACTTGCATAAAATTCCAGGGAGTCAAGTGTTAATTGCTGTCAAATCTTGTCAAATCACCACAGCACAGAATTCTTTAGCATACGAGGGGAAAATGAATTTAACAAACCTCTTGAGATTTCAGGGGTTCTAATAATTCATTGGGTTATTACCCCTATCTCTGTTTTCTCAATGACCAAGGTAATTTTCACTCTAATTCTATGTAAGGTCACATGCCAACATCTCAACTCAAACTTTACGGCCTCTTGGAATAAATCGCGTTTTCGTGAATCAGATTAAATTAAAGTTGCACCTGCAGAATTCATTCAAAAAAGAAACCAGCTGTAAAACTTACATAAGTCTTTAGAATTTCGATATCCCCTTCATCGAGCGCTGAAGAAAAGAACGACAAAAAGAAGTTTATACGTTGTTTGAAATACACTTCTTTCTTGATGCCCTTCATCTAATGTATCATTGTACAATTGAATCCGTACCTTGAATCGGTTTTTCCTCTTTGTCATCATCATTCTTGGTTTTCCTTTGATCTTTTCCCAAATAATCCGGCATTTTCGTCACAAACTGCCTTCACAATCTTCAATATGGCGGAAAATCTATCACTGCGCATGAGCGTAAGTTGCTTTGTCATTGTTCCCACGAGTCTCTTCAGCCTTTATTAGCGCCAGTGCCCTAGTCTCCCTGCGGTCAAGCAAATGACTGAAAATGCGCCCAACTTAAAGCATCGCTTTTTCTCTGTTATATAAAGACTCAGGCTGAAGATCCGTATGCTCCATGTCATGCTTTCCTGCCGAGTCTACCACACTACCATTCCCGTATACATTACTTCACCCAGAGCGCTGGGTCATCTTCTTGGAATAAACCTCTTTCACCAGCCATCAATAACCCTCAAATTTTATGCTTCACTACAGCGACCCCAGAGACTGGACACTACACCTTTTCCAGCAAATGTCTACTTCAGCAATTACTGCTGCTGGTGTTCAACCTTTCCAACTATTTTCATTTACTTCCTCTATCAGAGTACAATTTTAGCGGGGCTCCCACGCGTGGGGCAGAGCTCCATACCCATGGAAGATGGTCAACCTCTTTTCGTTTGGTTGTCACGTGACTGACCGAGCGTACGTACGTGCCTTCAGATTGCACGGGTAGGGTAGGGGAGACTATCAAAACGAAGGGAGGGGTGTCTCTGGCGAGTCTTGGCAAATGCACATCTTTCGTGTTATCATTAATATTAGGAACTTGGGAGCTCCACCTTTAGGCTTGGCTAAATCTATATATTATTTATTAAAAAGGTCGTTAGTCAAACGCTTTTTTGAAGAGTCAAGTGCCTTCCTGAAACCATTCTTAATTCCATTCACATTATCATTTCTATCTTCCTCCAGAGTAGCAATGAAAATTCCTTTCTTCTATTGGGTCAACAGTGTTTATGTAATGTTACCACAATCAAATTTGAGACAAGACAAAACCATGTATTCCAATGTTAATCCATCGGTCAGGTCTAACCATATTAAGTGCAAATGGTACAATTTTTTTCGAAATTCCGTTAGGCGGAATGGCACAAACAAGAAATTAAAAAGGCCAGTAGAAGCATGGAATTGAGGTGGTTGTGACCAGCAAACTCTCACTAATCCATTAACCCTTTGACAGTGTCCAGCTTCTAACGTATCCTTACACTACCACCCCTGAATCAAAACTTAGGTTATGTGAATGAGAGAGATGATCTCCAATTTAAGAAACCCAACTGTCAAAATAAATTTTGCTTGTTGGTACCTTGGGCACTGTAAAGGGAACACCATGGAGATTTGAATGCTCACATTAGGTATAAAGTGATAACTGAAATGGTAATTCACCATAATAGACTAAACACACATTCATCCTCAAATGAGATATATCTGTCTTGGTGATAGAAAATGCATCCAATCCACATAATTTATGGCCAGATTCTGAACAGAGACAATAAATTAAAACAAGACAACCTGTTTGTGTAAGACAAATTTCTTCTTATAGTAGTAGAGTTACACATGCAGACCTCAAGGAGAAAGAAAAGTATGCAATACAAGGAAGTTAAGCTTTCTTCATATAATAAGAATCTTTGAAGCAATTCTAACAAAACAAATTACAGTTGCTGCAGATTCTACACCACTCTCTCTAAGAGGATGCATAGCTGATGATTGTTAAATCAACCAGGTTAACCAAACTATATTGCACTAGTTGCAGCAAGCTGGAAATTTGGATGAGGTATTTGACAATTACTTATAAAACTTTCCACAAATAATTCCAAAAGTGCAGCATGAATTTTGTTATTTCAAAAGAGGATCTCCTCTCTAGCAAGCCAACAATGTAAACAGCACAATTTCTTTACTCAAAATGGAACATATCCACTAAGTGCCATGAAATCAAAACCAAAGCAATCACAGCGGCATATCATAAGGAAGATTGACATCGTACCAAGCCAGTGAAAACTCAAAGCAAAAGAAGTAGTAAATTGGTCTTGGCTTGACTGCCTAAGAAGGTGGGGCAAGTTTTCAAGTCCAGTTTTTAAAGCAGAAAAATATTTGGATTACCTTTCAATACTCAACAGAAAATTGCACTATACTGGGGAAAAGGTGAGAGAAATTAGTCATATTGGGTTATTTATGAACAATAACTAACTACTGACCAGAAGGTAACAATCACTGTACTTGACAGAGATGTCAAGTTAACTCTCCCTTGCCAGAAATTCTGCAAATTCTTTCTATTTGTAAATTGTTTAAGAACATACAGCACAAGTATGGATCTTTTGAGAGTTTTCACAAAGTACCCTAGTTGTCTAATTTCATTCCCCTCCAACTGAAAGTCGACATAAAATTATTTCCTCACTTAATAAGAATTACAATGCATGTTGATGCTCTTTGTCTGCAGCTTAAAATATAATTATATGAACAGTTAAGCAGATTCAAATGAAGTTGAACCAAAGATTCCCTCAAGGAACAATGTGCCCTTGTGAAAAATTGAGGTCATGCCATAGATGTCATCCTCTCTTTCATCATTGCTCTAAACAGTTCTAGCAAACAAAGCATATCCCATTCTTCCTCATATGTTTGCTAGGAGAACCCTATACAGCTATTTTTCTGTTTAATACACTTTATCCACACTTCAAGAATTTCAGTTCTGAACAAGCACTATCTCTTGTGAATGGACAATCAAAATCTTGTCCATTTGAATCAAAGTCATTAACAAGTTTCCTGTCCCAATTTCACAATTTTTCTCTCAGAGTAAAATACACTTCTTCTTCTTGGGTTGCTCTGGAGGTTCTAGGGCAGCTAAGATTGCCTCGTCAAACACATTTTTCAAGCCTTTTTGTGTTAATGCAGAGCACTCCACATATTTCACCGCTCTTAGCTCTTTTGATAGCTTTTCAGAACCTTCAACTGTTATGGGTTTCTGCTTGTTCTTGGATAATTTTTCTATTGTTCCGGCATCATCTCGCAAGTCAACTTGTGTACCAACAAGAAGAAAAGGAGTCTTTGGACAATGATGAGTAATTTCTGGTACCCACTGAAACAGAAATGTAACCATCAATAAGCTAAAGGTTAAGACCAAAAACCTTTCACAACCTAGCATTAATATTCTTTTTCTTGACACTGTTCCCTTTACATGTCCTGTGGCACTGACAAGGAGAATTATTTTCTTTGACAATTTGGAGCTTCTTAAATTGCTGATCATTTCCTTTACCCTCGTGACCTAAATACTTGATTCAAGGGTGACCTTATAAGGAGATATCAAAGGCCAGTCATTCCTATGGGTTTAAGGTTAATGAATGCTTTCCTTCTTGACAGATTCACACCACTGCTCCGTCAATAATCAATTTGTAAAACTAAATTGTTGTGCCTAAAGGCAACAGCAGAAGTTCACTGGGACCTTTAGCTATTCAAAAGGGAAATATTCTTCTGGTATGTAGAGATAGTAAAACCAGACCAATAAAATAAAAGAGACAAAACTGCTACCAGTCCAAAGCCTAGAAGTACAAAAGCTTGACAGAGCTATCCCCTGGGTAAATCCCTTTCCACAAACATCACTGTTTGTGATACACAACTGGAAAAGAAATTTTCAAACTGTTTACACTACCCTTGCACCTGTTACCTTTTCAAGGACTCTAAATGACTTTGGGTGATAATACGAGGTACAGCAGGTGGTATGTTTCACCAGTTATTGTCTGAAAAGGAGACTGCTACCTTATACACAAGAATATGACTGACCTTTTCTTTAACATTTTCGAATGAAGAAGGTGACACTACAGAAAAACACACAAGAAAGACATCTGTCTGAGGGTAGGATAGTGGCCTCAGTCTATCATAATCTTCTTGACCTGTTAAGGAAAAAAAAGAAAAAAGTTACTAAAGCTGCATATAAAATTAAATATGTTGAAGGTCATAATCAGATCTGTTTCTAACTGTCGAGGGACAGTCTTGTGGGCAGGAAAAGTTAAACAGCAGAAGTAGCTCTGTACTAAAGAAGAGACTTGTCTTCTTTTTCAGGTCAAAATAATCAAACAACCTAAATGAGAACTTAATATCAAGACTCATAAGATGTTGTCAGAATCTCTTGTGGCCATCAGTCACGTCTGTGCTTCTATATTAAGCAATACAATCTTTGTGAATAAAAAAATCATTATTTTGTCAACCACAAAGAAACAACTTCTCTAAAACAATCACATTCAAGTAGATCTACCAGATCCAACCCACAGGATGCCAAGAGCATGTGGCTAAACACAACAGGTGGCAAAACCTACTCACTTATTACAGCACATGAGCACATTCACTACATGTCCCTCCTTCATAAACCAAGGTTAACCAGGATTATTATTAGAAAATTTAATAAATGTATGATTTGAACTTAGCAGGGGGCTGAATTGAATTCAACATGGTATTGAATTACATCGCATGGTAAGTTGTAAAGCGACCTGCCCTTCCAGGTGGTCAAGGGGAGAGTGCCATGGAAAATGTTTGAAACTCTTTAATTAGAGATTTCCAGCATTCTGGGACATATTTGAGCAGTTATTTTCAGCCAGGCTTCGATGTTATAATCAGTTCCAAAATACTTTTTTCCTGTCTTTGATCCCAATTTACAAAGGTACGAGAGCCAGCAGGTTTCTGCTGCCTACAGGCATCTAGTGACAACTCTCCTCAATACACAAAAATAATCAAGTTGGTTTACCAATTTGACTAAATTTGGTTTCAACACTGCATCACTCAAATGACCATAATTCTGGCTGTTTGATAGAGGAAGCATTTGCCTCATTAGTGGCTTGATTAAAACTCTACACAGTTACTGACCTGCTGTATCAAACAATCCTAATGTATATGGCTCACCACCAATCATAACTGTTACAGCATAGTTATCAAACACCTAGAAAAATCCAAAACAAGGTGTCAATAAGTTAGTATTACCAGGGCTCCACACTAACGGTAGCCCACTAGCCACAGACCAGAAGAAATTCAGTTTTGGCTGGTGGTTTTCAATTTCCACAAGCCAGCTAGGCTAGTGGACAGACTGAAATTGTCGTAACATCTAATAACATCTAGGATGTCACTAGCCACTTGGCTAGTAAGTTGAAAAGTTAGCGTCGAGCCCTGATTACACCTTACTGAGACATTTGAACAGGAAACTGAAATCTTGCACTTTGCTCACCAGTGAAGAATTTACTTAAATTAGACCCAAACCAAAACAAAAATTCTAGTGAAGTATTACTTCAAGACTTCCTTCTAAATCTTACTGAAAGAGAGTTCTCAATGTTGTGGAAGTGATTAAAAGTTTTTGAAGGCCTCCTTGCTTGGATGATATTGTTGGATTTAACTGTACATTTTTTTGCACAGCTTCTCACAATGTAAAAAGAAGAAACATGTCTAACATGGATGAAAGGATAAAGAAAATAAAAAAAGTTCAGTGAGGAGAACTAAGATGAAAACAACCAAACAATCCTCAGCAACCTATACAATGGTGTGAGAACATTCTTATTTAAGAACAGGAACTAGAAGCTTGCATATAATGATATCATGAACACCAAGTTCTGGTTACCTACAAAAATTATTCTACTCTTTCGTAAATCCAATTTAGTGTGACTGTTCAAGAAAAAATTAAGGGAAACTTCTGATATGTCAAAAAATGTCTTTTTGTTTTTCAATGACATCATGAAAGATTTCAGCAAAACAGTTAATCCAATAATTTGACTGCAGAGACGAACACAGCTTTAAAAGCATACACGTGTCCCTTATCTTGAACCAAATATGAAATGCTCTAAGTGCTATTTTAATCACATTTCGGGACTTGTCAAAAGAAAAGCCACCAACTGAATGTACACACATGGCCTGCTTAGAGAACTGAGCCAAAAACATTATGGCTAGTCCGTGCCACGATCATTTTCCCATAACAACACACTACAAATAATAAACAAGTCATCGCATTCAAACAAACATTGAATTAAAATGTCCATAGAAAGATCTTCAATCCCTACAGAAAAATACTGTACCAGTGTTTTACCAATAACATATGGAACACTCTCAGGAAATTTGCTACCGATATGTTTTTCATCCTCCTAAGCTTTTAGCCACTCATTAATAAGTGACCACCGCATTAAGTTTCTACTCTACGTGATTAAAAGATGGGCCCTCGGGCAACAAACATGACTAACACACTATCATTTGAAAATTTCAAAGACATTTTTACGGCTTTCCCTTTTAGACTAATGAAAAAATTCGTTTGTGTAAATAACCAAATAAGCATAAAATTCTAATATGCAAGTTTGATCGTTCAATGTTTGAAGTAAAAGGGGGGAAATATGCTCAATATATTCATTTGAGAAAGTTACAAATACACTCGCCATGCATTGGCGCCGTACTAAAAATTTGTTAAAATGTAGCATGTTGATATTAAAGTTAATATGTACACCAGCTATGAAAAGTCGGCACTTTAAAAGCTTCACCTATCAAAATAATGGTACCGACAAGAAGGCGCTTGGCAAAGTTGATTGCATGGGTGAAAAGGTAATTTCAACTGTAAACTTACCGTGGGTACATATTCACTTGGAAATTTATTTGTCGTATAGGAAATCAATAAACATGTTTTTCCCACTGCTCCATCGCCAACTACTACACACTTTATAGTTTGCATTATGCCGGTCTACAAAATTTTGTACGCTGATGGGTTTTCCGCTGCAGTGGAATTCCTGAAAGTAAATTGGATACGATAAGTAAGGACTTTGCATAACAAACGAAACGTCAACAAATTTACTTTCTTGCCTCGACATATTTTGTACCAACTACAATGATGCGAAGTAAAGGCAATAACGTGAAGAACTCAAACCTTGATTTCACGGAAATTTAACACTCAACGCCGCAAAGACCGGTATGACGTTTGCAATGTCTTGCAATAATGGGTTTTGAATTGGTAAGAGCAAAGTAAACTGGGAGGAATATCATAAACCTTACGAGACTTGCGGATAAATTTTTAAGATATGACACGGTTAGTCGAAGATGATCTGAAATTATTAAGCTGCTATATGACAAGGACATAATAGAACTTTGATCACCCAAAGCTTGAACACAATGAATGAAACTTTCACAACTTCGAGTCTAGTTGGGGTTTGTAACACTACGATGGAATGAAATACGAACAATTTATTTGAACACTAAAAACGGCTTGTTGCTCTTTAGCCTCACAACTATTCCTCGATTCTATCCTCGAAAACCTTCTATTGTCGATCGATGTCTCGAAACTACACGAAAAAATGAGATCATTAGAAAAACATAGGTGCCGTACATGTCGCCAAAAATGGCAGACTTCGACGAGTAAAATCCAAGCGCATGAAATTACACGACCAGAATTAAGAGATATAAAGACGGTGGAAGCACACAAGAGGGATAATACTAACCGGTAATCGAGTTTCAACGGTTTAGATGTCCCTAAAAACTTGACAAGAGAAGCGCTTCACAACTGTTTTAACAACCGCTTATGCCATGAATTCCAATTTTGCAATGAGATGTCCGGCTTTCCAGGGGCGTTGGTTGACGAATTGATCGGGAGCCCTCGAGAAGCACTGACACGCAGAAACGAGGCTACGCAGTGAATTTTAATCGTATGATATGATTGGTCAGTCGTTATTTGGCTTGGCTCTAAGCCTCGTAACTGTCCAATGAAAACATTCGTTATGAATTTATGTCGCAACTTCCAAATTTACCCTAAAATATAAAACGGGAATAAGTTGCGTTCATCAGATCATCTTCACTTCCGTTTGTTTAACTGCGAATAGACACGAGCCACTAGTTTCCTACGAGTTAACCCTTACGATATGTTTGAATAATCATACCGCGTAGTGACACAACACAAAGTGTCGTTTCTTTGCAGACGTGGCACTTCACAGCACTTTGCCATAGTTTTGCACAGAAAGTCGTCTAGAAGGCGCCTCTGGCCTGCTACAATTCATGGACCATGGAAAAATTCATCTTCCGCTCATGCTGAAGGTATAGTTTAGTCGAAGCTTTTCAAATCTTTAAGATCAGGAGGGCAATTTTTCCTCTGGATACCCAGAGTATTGCTGGATATGGACAATCAAATACAATTTTGGCGAATTGACCATATCCAGGAAACTTAACTGTTTTAAATCGAACCTTCCTGCCAATTCCTTGAACCATTTTATATTTTCTCACAACTTCGTCAGATTCATTCTGTGATTTCCATGTATAAAAGTAAATTTGAAATGAACCAAAAAAAATAAATAATAGATTAAAGACATTTCCTAGTATGAAACCTTTAATTTCCAATGTGTGCACTAAAATTGACAGGAGGACAAAAGAGCAGTGCCAACTTCCTTAACACCAACAGGATGTTCACTTGTTGAAAAACAATTCTCTGATTAGATTTCCTTTACTCGTTATCTATGACTAGCAATTCTTCAATAACAAAGCATAAGGGGGAATTTCACAGGTGCATTATCATGCAATGATTTTTTTATTTATTTACTTTTGACTTCCAAAGAGACGAGTACATTAAGAGTGCACCTGTAGCCTGGAGAAAAAATATTTAAAAATCTAATAACTTACTCTCTCTGATATTTCACTTTTATTTTTGAAAAATTTCTCATCCAATAACATCGCTGTCCTCTTAAGTAAATAAAACTACATTATGTTATCATACAAAATGTAAAATACCTATTTTAAACATTTGTATACTTTTTGTGGTTAATAAATTGAATGATTTGTATTTTGAAACTTAATTTTAGATATCAGTATTCTTTTTAATTGTCTAATTTTTTTCCTGCTTTTTCTTTTCCAATGTTTTACACATCAAAAACTGTATTTCACAGTTACTTTTCTCTTCAATCTCACACAGATACAAGGGAGGGGAAGATAACTCCATTTTTATTGAGTGAGGGGATACTGGTTTGCAAAGTTCTGTTTAACAAAATTCACCTGCCTGCCTTGGTACAAATAAATTTTTACATATCCCCCTAAAACAAGATATATTCATGGCCATCCTTCCATCTGAGCTTGTGAGAAAAAAAAAAAAAAAACACCTTAAAAATCGTATTACTCTATTATCTCAAAGCAATCAAGCAATGTATAAACTTTCACCTTCCTCTGCTGTAAGGTGTTTTTAATTATAGATGTTTAAATAGAACATGCATGTTCATATCAAATCTCCATGTTGCCTGAAGATATGTAGAAACAATAAAACCAAATGTTGATATATATTTTAAATGTTCCAAAAGATTTAAAAAGAAATTTTATTTTACAAAAGATGCTTAGTATGCTGATTATGGTACTACCTATTGTAATATTTTAACAAAAATTCCTTATAGTAAATTGTTAGAAATATTGGTTTAACTGGACATTATCATAAACATTTTCATTACCAGTCAACAACTTTCAAATTGACCCAGTCTGATTCTTTTCTACAGTCTTGGACAGCAAAAGAACCAAAAAGCCATAGCCACCGCTTTTCAAAAAATTTTTGCATGTTGAGTTCACTTTCTTAATGCTGCCAGGCAACTCAGTTTGCAGAGAAATAAAAAGAAAATAAGATTGAATCAAAAAAACAAAAAAATTTACACCAAACTTTGGAAAACCTGAGTACCAAAGATATTTTGTGGGTAAATTTAAGGTTTATACTGTGACAAGAAATCACATAGAAGATGGGGCAAGTTTCAATTGAGTGTTGAAAAATGGAAATGGTGATCCCAGCAACCAATCAGAACAAAGGGTTACATTATCAATAGCCAATGAGGACTCAAAGGGAAGTGCAAGAAAATGCCAATCATCAGGTTGCCATTGTTTTCCGTTTCGCATCTGATTGGTTGAGAGAATGGACCTGTTATAGGGTAAAGTCGAGCGAGATCCATGCACGTTATCCTTCAAAACTCAATTGAAAATTGTTCTAACTACACCCCCCAATAAACAAACGATTGCTGCTAACACTTTTCCCCACCTTAGCTCTGGTTCCTTTCTTTCCCTCAGAAAATATACTACTTCACAAACATCCTGATGCTCAAGCTGTTGAGGTTTTCTGAGTTTGACAGTTAAACTTTCAAATAGATTTTCAGTGTGCCGATTAGACGCCAGGCAGGAGAATATCTCTTGACCCTTTTGCTCCCAAGATCTAACAAGTAATTCTGCTTACTCTGTCATACAATTCTTATAATGTTGGTTTGGAGAATTTGGTATTGGATCAGTAAATAATTTCCAAATCGATATTTTTCTTCACTCATCGCTTGTCTGCTTGATAATGTAAAAAGAAATTCTGTCTTGGTCACTCACCACAGTTGACCCTTTAACCATAAGAGTGACCAACATCTAATTTCTCCTCACAATATCAGACTTGAATCACAGGTTAAGGTCATGAGAATAAAGGAAATGGTCACCACCTAAAGAACCTCTTGATTGTTAAACAAATTTTCTTTGCCAGCACTATGGGAATGTAGGAAGAATGTTATGGAGAAAACAGATGTGAGGTTGTAAAAAGGTCAAGATAATTTCCTGAGTCTGTCCCTATTCAATTCAACTCTTAAAGTAAGGTGCAAAGTTTCTTCTTTGGTGGTTCTGGAGGCTCTATTGCAGCCAGAATAGCTTCATCAAAGACATTTTTCAAGCCTTTCTGAGTCAGGGCCGAACACTCTACATACTTAACAGCTTTTAGTTCCCGTGTCAACTTCTCTGCAACCTCAACAGCTATGGGTTTCTGCTTGTTCTTGGTCAGTTTTTCTATTGTTCCCGCATCATCCCGCAAGTCCACTTGTGTACCAACAAGAAGAAAAGGAGTCTTTGGACAGTGATGTGTGATCTCAGGTACCCACTACAGAAAGAGGAAATATCTTCTAGTTTGCTATCAGATCTTATTTTAAAAGTAAAGAATTAAAAATGGCTATAGTCAAGCCAAGTGGGCTATCCTGCTGGGACTTATTCAAGTTTCCTTGGCGTGAAGCAACTACAGCTGCAGGAGTGCTACTACTCCCCTCTGGATGGGATCCATGTCCAATGCAAGGTTACCCCCCCATCTGACTTCCCTGAAATTTGTCAAATGCTAGTCATATTCCTGAGTGGAGAGAGGCAAAACAAGGTAACAAATTTTGCCAAGAAACACAACACATTGAACCTGGACTTTTCAACCCCGAGTCCAGTGCTCGAATCATTAGGCTACTGCACCTCTCACTTGTGTTATGAGTAGCAAAATATATTTTTAATGCCTTCACTCAAATTGTTTCAATCTCAACTTGAGCATTGATCAAAATCAAACACCACCATTTCCACATTACACAAGTAACCAATTATTATTAAGCTGTAAAGATGTTGTACCTTTTCCTTAACATTTTCAAAAGAAGACGGTGACACTACAGAAAAACATACAAGGAAAACATCTGTCTGTGGGTAGGAAAGAGGTCTCAGTCGGTCATAATCTTCTTGACCTAAAGACAATTGTAGAAAAGAAGAAATGTGTAAGATACGATTACAAAGATTAAGAATTTCTACAAACTCTTTACAGGGGTATCTGGCTTATCCTGATACACCCTTGCATCAATATGGGTATCCACACTGTTCTCCATAAATTTCCTCTGATCGCCAGAAGGAGTATCTGTTGAACAATCAAGGCTTTGGGGGCTAGTGATCCTTTCCATTAATCTTATAACATGAATGTTTGAAGCTGGAGTGATACTACATGGAGAAATGAAATGCTGGTCACTGTTGGGGTAAAAGGCTTACAAGTGACCTTACCTGCTGTATCAAACAACCCTAATGTGAATGGCTCTCCACCAATCATCACAGTGACTGCATAGTTATCAAACACCTGCAACACAACAAGGATAAAAAGTGGTTTGTCACTGGGCTACACACACAAACATCAAAACAATTTTCTGATGTATTGCTTAGAGGTCATTCATAGCTTCCTGATCACAATTATGACCGAAGGGAGGGGAAGGAGGGAAGAGGGAGTTTTAAGGGTGAGAAATTCTAAGCAACAAGTGGCAAACTTAGGTAGCAAGGAAAGCCATAAAACTCTTGAACAAAAGCTCATCTTTCAAACCGGCAGTCTAAATCCCACAGGTATCAACGAAGGCTTTTCATTCCACTTATTTATTTGTGTTTTTCTCATTGCCATGTTCCCACCAATAACGTAGCTCCATTTTCTGCCTTTAAAAGCACACACAACCCACAATTCCTCTATTCGCTCCGACGAAGGGCTAATGCTCAAAACGTCAGCTTCTATAATCATAGCGATGGCCAACTTACTATTTCAACTTTGTTGATATATTCAAATTATTTTGTTACCCCCACCGACGCAGCCCCAAACAGTTTCTTTAGAAACTATCAACCTTTATTCATTTGTACAGTAGACTGCAGACTACTAAATTAACCAATCCTAATACTTACACAATCTGAGCGATATCACAGTATCCCGTAGTTGATATTTTTCTTTTTTCTCAGCACCTGTCTACTGGCTAGAGTATTGATATTGTTGGGAGAAATCACTTCTTGGACATTCCTCAAAGTAAAATAATTGACTGCAAGGTGCTGTAACCTTCAATGTACGACAACAAAATCTGATCCCTAGCTAGTCCCATTGTAGGGAGTTTGAGATATCACTCACTGAGTTTAAAAGTGGTACTAGGTTTCCACATCTATTTTCTCAAGTATCTAGCAAATCTTATCACATGGACAGCACATTTCAAGGAACATCACAGAGTAACCAGAACAAAAATTTTTCACCCACACTACTGAGTGAGAGAAGGAAACTTACCGTAGGTACATATTCACTTGGAAATTTATTTGTCGTATAGGAAATCAACACACATGTTTTTCCCACTGCTCCATCTCCAACTACAACACACTTTATGGTCTGCATACTGCTGTCACAACAACAATATCAAGACTTCTGGGGTTTTTAACACAGAAGTATACCCTAAATGCAAACAGAAAACACATTTATCAAAACCCATTACAAATGTAAAAGAGATGCAGCTGTTCTAGTAGAGACCTAACCCTTGGTTTTCAAAGACGAGTTATATCAGCTGGCCGAATTAAAAAAACTTGGACTTCCCTCTATGATGAGGGTGTTACTTAACAGATAAACAAAGTACCCGTGACAAATAATGAAATACCAAGTAAACAAGTAACAGAACTATGCTCTTAGAAGCATGTGATTCCATGCTTTTGTTGCATTTTTTTTTCTTCCATGCTTTTTTAAAAGTGTGGCAAACCTCCAAAATTTAAAGGTTTATACAAACTTCATGGTGCACCTAGAACACTTAAACTGAATCTCCCTGTCTTTGTGGGTGTCTAATGCAACAACATGGCATTCAAGATAATCCCGCAACCTGTTTTGAAATCATTCTTTTCTCTTTACTTTTGCACAAACTGACAGCCTTGAGCAATCTGTGGGGTAGTGTAAAATGTCCCTGAAGCTGACAGTACTCAGTCTGTGGATCAACTATTGAAAATTCTCTCTTGATTCTTTACAACTAAAACATACATATATAAATTAAAAAATTATATTCACTCTTTAAGGTCTAACCAAAACAATTTGCTTATTAAAATCAGCATCTCTTAGTAGACAGGTTTCTTTATTTCATACATCGTCAAGTATTTAAACCCTTGCTGATTTTAACTAGAGAAATAAGAGTTAGACCTGTGTTTACAATAACATCATGGATTGTCACCATAAGGACAATCGTTTGATTTTTTGCTATACAAGGAGAGCTTTTAAAAATAATTCATTATTCATTAGAGACCTAAAGCAGAGAGTCTCCTAGAAGGTAGATCTACAATTGTGTTCATTGTATTTACAGAAGATAGTTCTAAAATAAAAGTTATGAAATCTTCATTATAGTTCACACTTATCCATTAGGATTTATTACTGTTAAGAGTCTGCAAAATTTGTGGTTTTATTGCGATGAGGTGTCGAAAGAGTGAATTAACAAATTTTTTTAAGGACGCCAATTCTTACCCATCTTTTAGTATACATATATGATCAGGCAGCTGGTTCGAACGACGAGCTTGCATACACATGCATGCATGATTTAACATCGAAGAGGATATTACGAGCCGAGGAGGAAACATGAAAGAAGTAGAATGACCGATAAGATAAGAACCACAGGAAGATAATAAGGGCTAAGAAGTTAAGGTTCACAGCCGAATTATCGGGATCAGGTATTCTGGAATGAAAGATCGCGCTGTCTGTGACTTCTAGAGTTACCAGACCAAATCTGTAATCTGACTTCAACATCAACATATAGGCTAAAAATTCTTCGAAGAATTGGTCCTTAGATCGCAAATTAACATCTATCTTATAAATTTATGGAACAAATATCGAATCCCCTGAAGCACCGACAAAAATTACAAGCAGTGCACGACAACAAACGGTTGCAAGCACTGCAAATGAAATAAATGTCGCTGGTGATAATATTTTGAGTTAAGCATCTTTCAAAAGTCAAATACTAACTGCACGTCTATAAACGGGAAGATAGTCGAAAGTACGTGAAAAGCTATACCTACGATCAACGAAAACGTCTTGTTATCCTCTAGAAAGGCACAGGGACCAGCTGTAGCCTCGCAACTTATGTAAAATTTACAAAGTTATGTTGTAATATTTTGATCACTTCCCAGGGGCGTTGGTAAAGATATCACAAAAGCGAGGCTTCAAGGGTCAATTTTTATCACTTTTAGTGATTGGTCTAATTTTAGTCAGCCAGGCCACTAAGCTACACCTTATCCAATCAGTTGGTGTCTCATAAATTCAAGTCAAATTTTCACATTTACCCGGGAATATAAAAATTGGAGTAAAAAGTTTCTGGAGTCTGCGTATACCAACAGGTATTGACACCATTGGCCGATGCTTTATTGCACAAAATGTGCAAGGTAGGTTAAGTATTCATACTAGCCATTACCACTTGAATTGACGTCGGCGAAATAAGTTTAAAATTATATGTCATTGTTTACCTATGCATCAAATTATGCAAAACAACTGACAAGAATTCCGTGTCACCCCAAACTTGATTACGATTCAATTCTTGGATAAAGGAAAGCAGAGGCAAAACAACAGATTTCCTTTGGGACTACGGCTTTGTTTTTGATTGGTATGGGGTTATACGGAAGTCTTTCCAAACAATTCCTTATGCCTGTAAGGCATATTGCCCAACATGTCTGGGCATAATCCATTAATTAATTAATCCCTTGAGGCTTCTATCGATCAATTTGGTAAATCGGCTTTGAAGACCCAATTTTCAAAACCAAGAACACTATTTAGTAATAATGCTATATTCATCTGTTTTTAATCATTAAATAATGATTTCAATTTGTTTTTTGTCCAAAGTGAAATCAATATTGAATACAGCAAAATTGAATACAGTAATATTTGTAACAAAGGAATAAATTGCCACCAGTTTTGTCAGTAGTCGTCTATTTCTAGAACGATAATTCTGTAAAAATGTGAAATATATTTCTTATTCTGTTTTGTTTCTACAGCCAACGACAGAAAAGAAAAGTTGATTCTAACAATGGTGTAGGTTCACCAGCTTCCTGTTCAGGAACATGAAATATATCTTATTAACCAAGTGCGAGGGCCGTAGAGGGAGAATATTGGCCTGAGGTCTTGACAGTACAGACCAAGCGCAGCGAGGTCCGTACAAAAAAGACCGAGGGCCGATATTCATCCAGTACGGTCCCGAGCAAGCTTGGTTAATAAGAGATTTATTATACGACTGAAGTTCAAAGGGACACAAGTGCGGTATCATTCGGGACCATTCGGGACAGTGCCCGGTCCAATTCTTAGAGAATA